TATTATTTTCTTTGCGTGACATTGAAAACACTCTATAGTGACGGCTGATACTTTCTAGGAAATGTTTTGTCCTTACCCTTTTTTGAATTCAACTTTAATATATAGCTGAACCGAAACAAGGCAAAATATAATTGGAATGGAATCTATAAAGGAAGTCAGTCTTCCTCAGTAGTGCTTTGCCGATTGTGCTGAGATACTGTTTGGTCAACTGCAAGAGAACATAAATCGCTTCATGTGAGGGGATGTAAGACAGTATTTCCACGCCGTGGATTTCAGGTATTGGAACTTGCATTCGGGTTTCCAGTCGTTAGTGGGGTTCCGGATTCCTTGAGCTGCATTCCAGATTCCAAAGCCCGGGATCCCTCACTCTACAAGCAAAACTTCCCGGATTCCCTTACAAGGAGCGAACAAAAGACTATCTTTTCACGTTCCTTGGTATAACTGGGAAAAATTATAAGGAGCATAATTTTACTGAAAAGGCACTGCTCAAACCGTGATAATACGAATATCGTGGTAAATTCAAAAGACAAAACGAAAAAAAAAAGAACTTTTTCATGTTTTGTTTTGTTCTGTTTTTAAAGCCTCATTTATTTTACGAGAATTTTGACTTTCGTAAATAAATACATATAATTTAATCAGTCATATTACGCAGGTATTCATAAAAATAATCAAATGCGCATTACATTAGTAGTAAAAGCATGGAAAAAAAACCTATTTTCAATAAGTGAAATAAGAATATATACGCTTCCGCCATAAAAATCTAAAATATCGATAAGAAACAATTAAAATATATTCATTCAACCATACTCAAAGTTAAAAAGGTACGTCTTAAGATTGCTCTTAAAAGCTCTGTTTCAGTCCAAGGGCACACAACGATGGTTTCGTCCTAAATACATTGAAAACACTGTCTTTTTAGGCTATCCAGAGCACTTTAAGATCTCTACTTCTAAGAGGCACTATACAATTTGCATCTGTTCTGTCATCCTAGGGGAACTTGAGGTCTTTTCGAAATTAGAAGGGCTTGAGTACTATTTTGCCGAAAATTTTAGATGCGATTTGACGTAATACGAAAGTAAGACATTTTCTGATTCCTCTCTCCATTGCGTTTTTAAATCCCCAAAATTTTAGGTTTCCTTTTTTTTCTACGAAAGATTGCCTGATTTGTGAAGGGAAATAAGAAAATTCAACTTCAGAAAACCGTAAGGAATCTATTATTAGCCGTCCTCAAGTAATAGAAAATTCTAGTTAATATTTGCTTTTCCGGAGAAATATTCATTACAGAAAATAGTCGTTGGGTGCCCCTGTTTTTCTCTTGGCAGAAACTCTGTTGGTTTGGGGACATATTTAAATATATCTTGTCCTAAATGCATAATCTCGGCATAATTTGGCAAATTTAGGAGGAGAGCTTGCAGGAGCACTACGGCCTGACAAGAATAGTTTCAGACACTGAGACATGGAGACTCGAGAAAAAAACAGAACTGCATATTTCTCGAAGTAAAACTAATAATTGCTCGGTTCGATTCTATACAACAATTAAGTGCAGTTTTGACCCCATAAAGACAGCAGTTATGCAGGATACATTTAAACTTAGCCTTTCATAACGTAAACTTCCGATTACAATCCCCCTTCCATTTATAGGCCCCTCTACCTGTAAACAAAAGATGCATCTGGTTATAAGACCACCCCCCCCCTCCTCCCACCCAAATATAAGCCCCGTTTATCATTGAAATGGATTCGACTCTTTACGACGTTTTGATGCTTAAAAAACTGATCAAATTCAAAAAGGATTTTGATCAGCACTGTTATGTAACTTGCAATGAAAAACTTTTTTTTAGTCCAGTAATATGATAGATAGATATGCCTCCCCCCACATCATCCCTTCTACGCCGAAAACCCCTTACGAAGTTGTTTAAGCCCAGGGCTTATAATCGGAAGTTTAAGGTATCCCACGTGATGAGTAATCACCGCAGCAAGTGACAGGGACAGTTACATTTGTTCATGTTTTATTTACGAAAACCTGCGGAACAATAAAAGTCAAACTTGAGTTTTCTGTTGGCAGATTTAACTTTCTGCTAACCTTTATAGACCTTCTTCTAAGTCAGTAAGGTTTAAGTATTTTCTGCTAAAAGACGACATTTTGGTCTTTTTTTTAAAATGAAAACATTATGATGACCTCTTTAACTCCTCAGTGGAAAGAAGGCTAACTTGTAGCCAGGGCTGTCTTATAACCACCACCACGATAACTGTGATGTCATTCGTGCTATACCAACTGACAGGCATCTTCGAGAATTTTACCCGTTGCTGTCCTTATGCGTCGTATTCAGAATGTTTGGTCAGGTTCGATTTAGTAACCTTGCACGCTAGACGCGTGGCCCTGTGTAGAAAGCTTTTCGAGTCTATCACGTCATGCCCGGATCACAAACTTGTGCCTGTCTTACCTCCTAAGAGAGAACACAGACATAATCTAAGACAGTCCAGGGCTTTCCTAGTTATATATAGAGAGTTTTTCGCATTTTTATAGAAATGTTTTTTGTTATAATTTCAATTAGTATTTATATTTTTGGAATTTACTTAATCTTAGTTTTAAGTAATTGTAACGCAATTCAGTCTACGGAATGCCATGTTCGATATTTTAATAAACTATCTATCTATCTATCTGCTGATTGGACACCCAACCTCCTCCTTATAGGGCTTTTCCCCTATAAAAGGTTGCAGTTGCATGGTGACCTAGATGCTGCAATACAAACGAACAAAATGCAACATATCCCATTGGTTGACGGACAAAAAGTATGTCGACATTAAAGAGAAGGAAAAAAAGAAAAGCCAAACGAAGAAAGGAACTGAATGGCAATAGGTGGTGAATGATTAGTTAACGGGAATACCTGTTCGATTCCGTCCCACATTGTCACGAATAAAGAAAATCGCGATCGTCTACTTTTAAAGGCGAACCGGGATGAAAACTTCGTCAAAAGGTTTGGTTTTTTTGCAGAAATGAATCCAGAAAAATGAGTCTAAATCTGCAATGTTAATCATTGCCTCGTTTTCTGCTCTTGATTAAGTCCGACGATAGTTAACAGTAAAATGAAAAAACAAAAACGCATTCATCGGGGGCACCCAACGACAAGTTTCGGAAAGTATCTGTTCGGGAAGACGATTTGAGATCTAGAATTTTCGGAACAGTTTTTGTAAAATTTCTTTCTTGCCTGCCTCTCCTGGGATTTTCGAAAATTTAAAAAATCAGTGGTATAACTGTACATTTTTAACCGGTTTTTACCCTAAAAAGGTCAGCTAGAATTTTCGGGGGCCTTTTTTCTGGCTGAAATTTTCGAAAAAGTAAGTTTTGATCCCTATAATTTTCGAATCACTGTAGACTTTCAGCTAGGAAATCCGAACAGATGAAAAATTCTTAGGGGATAAAAATATGCCTATATCTACCGTTTAAAGTTACTAAAATACGTTTAACAATGCTATGTTTAAGTGGTTTTGAACTATATTCTCGTTGGGTGCCCCTGATTCATTGGTTTTCCTTCTGAGAGAATCACTTGATTTCTTCCATTTTGGAGTTCATATTAATATTAAATATGATAAGACCTGATGACTAACGATGCTAATTTTCAAGTAACCAGCTACTCTATAAAAAAAATGTCGAACTCAGGATGGCATTACAACTCCCCTCTTTCAACATTGTCCATCATTAAAGAGTGATTGATTTTATGATCTGCTTTTTTCCATTGAAGAACACTCAGCAGGGCAATGGGTCAATATTCTCTACGGGAGTCTTTCTATCGTTTGATCATCTGAGAGTATGTAAAGCTGAAATTATTCTAAAACTTGAAACGTAAAGAAGACAGTAAATAATAGTGTATTTTTGGTCCCTTTAGATTTTATTTCAATGGCAAACCCGTTTTCAATTGAAGTAAAAAAAAAACAAACAAACAAACAAACACAAAAACAGAACAAAATTCTTTACCCATTAGGTATAATGTACCGTGGTGAGGCCATGTGTTATTATAATACCTGTTTAGTCGTGTCATTGCAGGTTGTCGAAGTACATGACTGACAGCATTGTTGATCTAGCCTGCGAAAACATCCGTTTCTCCTCGCTCTACGCCGCTGGGGACGTTTCGCGAGGAGGAACGTCTGCGACTCAGCGGCAGAAATTCCATACTGATGACGCAAATCAATGTTTACATAATAAATCCAGTAGTCATGGGGTTCCAAATACAAATTTGTCAAATTTTACGTGTCTTCCAGTCGATTTTGGTAAAGTGTTGTGCTCATCTGCCGAGGAGCTCCAGCAAAACTCAAATGCTTCTTCTAGAGAAGACTGTATTCCACAAATATTGACTATTTTGTTAGGGATTCTTCGCGTTTACATTTGACCTTTGTGGCCTTTTGTATTTTGTCTGTCATTCGTAAACAATGGCTAAAACAATGTAACTACTCTGTCGACCAATCAGCGCTTCTGACCGGATTCCGGACAGATTTTACGTCATCAGTATGGAATTTCTGTCGCTGAGTGGCAGACGTTCCTCCTCGCGAAACGTCCCCATCGACGAAGAGCGAAGAGAAACGGATGTTTCCGCAGGCTATTGTTCATCTAGACGTTTGCCATTAAAAATTTATTACATAAATTAAGAACGCACATAGCTGGTCATAGATCCATAGCAACCAGCTTCGTTTACAATTAAATCATTCAGAAACACTGCTACATGAAATAACCTAAAAAAACAACGTCTCTTGAGTAAGTACATGCTATAAGGATGGCGAATGCGCTTAAAAACTGGCTTGTTAGCTAGCCTCAGGGGCTTGAAACGAAGTCCAAAGTTGCCTCAGTGTCGATGTTAGTGAATTACCGAAGAAAGTCACTTAGTTAAAAGTTATAGTCCATAATCATTTCTGTGGTACTGGTGCCCAACGCTGCCATAACGTCAATTTAATTTTCCACCTTGGAATCAAGAACTGTTTCTCGACAGCATTCAGCTCTAGTAACCTCAAATATGGAACTTTTATATCTAGGATATAAGGCGTACTTCGACAGGTTCGACACCAAATCATTTCAAACCGAATATACCACGAGAGACTGCAACTCCGAGGAACCCTTGCTATACAGTCAAGTACCAAAGCACCCATGGAATGAACCTCGCCGTCCTCCTGCAGCCAGTAGGTACATATCGTATGGAACTGCAGCCAAACCGACGCATCTAAGGCCACCGTTTGCGGCGCGAATGTTAAGTTATATCCCGGATGCCGAGGGAAAATATACTGAGCAAAAATCACCTCATGCAGAGAAAGAAAAATCACGTCGGCTCATGTATTCTTTTGATAAAAGAGAAACTTGCAGAGAAACGCATTTAACTGATCTAAGACCAAAATGTTCTGGCGATTTAAATACATTGCTTACTACCCAGTCGTCAGAAAACAGCTCACCCAAGAAGAATTTGACAGACGGTCAAGTGTTACAGAAGCTGGGAGTTTCATCACCACACGCCTTATGCAATGCGAAAAAAGTTCAGCTAAGGAATCATTCAAGTTTATCGCAACTTAAACAAAATCAAATTAACCATTATATGTTGGATCCGCAGTCGCCGTTACGGCACTCATCACTCTTTCTGTCAGTAACAAGCAGCCTCGAACCTTCACAAAGAGGTTTGTGACGCCAGCATTAGCTCGGGATCGCGAAACCATGGCGTCACACTTTACTAGCAAAAATAGAGAGCAGGTACTGGAGAGAGTGGCCCTAAGGCCCAGCACGTTGTTGTCCAAGCACTTGAAGAATGTACGTTATGTTCGCGATACCTGTTTCTTCCACCCCACTGAAGACAGAAAGAAACACTATTATGTTGTCAATCCTAATTGGTTTTCAGAACAGCGGGTAAAAATTCCCAAGAACAACGTGTCCTCATAAATAAAAACGCGTTTCAAATTGGCTAAACGCCTATTTACCCATAAATTACAGAACCGCATAAAGGAAGAGTAACTGATGGCTTCCCCCGCAAGCCTCGACCAAAACATTGCACAAGAAATCAATAGGGACAGGGAACAATAACGTCATATTTCTTGTCAAAATGTTTGAAACATGTACTTTCCTTTCCAACGACCAATTTTCGGCCGGGGAAGTAATTTCAGAGTTATAGGGTTAAAATAACATGGCAAAGCGAAACTAAGAAGCAGAAATTTGTTAAGTGTTCTAAGTTTCTCAGTTATTGCAGCAGCGTAACTTAACGGTCATGACTTTAGAGATACAGGAGTTTATTATAAGGGGGAGTATACTCCTTATAATAGCTTAAACGGGGAGGCTCCCAGGACCAAAATGTTTATCTTTTTTTTAATTTAGGAAGCAAGGACCAACTTTACAAAAAAGAAAAACCGGTTCCTAATAAAGGATCTAACTTGCTATAAGTGTAACCTGTTCCAGGCTCAGAAATAGTCGGGTCCACTGAACTGAGATATATAGTACGAACTTGAAAATAAAACGGGAGGAAACTTCCTTTTTCCTTTTTCCTTCCTTGAACAAAATAAGCAAGGCTGATTTTACATTCGGGAATATATATTTTATGTTAAGCAATAGTTCTTAATATTAAAATGGAAGGCCCTGCCTTCCGAAATATTGGTGACAGAAAATATATATTCCCAACTGTAAAATCAGCCTTGCTTCTTTCTTCAATATTTATCTTTTTTAGGCTTCAAGCCATCATAGAAAAGGATTTCACTATAGGTGAAGTGTATGAAAGAGTAGGGAAAGCTCTCATTTCGGCCATGGGTAAAAAAAAAACTGCTGCGTATTAGATGAAGAGGCTGGACCCCCGGGCGGCGCCTTCCTGTCTAAACTTTGTTGAGTGTGAGCCAACGCCCTTCCCCCACCCTCTGAGGATAAAACAGTTGGGTAATGTCAAGAGCAAATAAAAGCAAGGCCAAGTCAAAAAAATAATTAGCTGCTACATTTTTGCGGTCTCTTTAAGTTTTTTTAATTTTTATTATGAAAATTACAATGCATGTATAAAAGTAACTTGTCTCAGTTTGTGATTCGTAGAGCAAAACGCTTAAGTCCCGCACTCAAAAGTTACTTTGAATTGAACGGGTCAACTGCACAAGTGTCCTATAAGATATGCATCCAGTTACAGTGCCGTATTTTGAAGTTGCTTAGAAAAATAATGTTCACCAATCGACAGGCCCATCAATGGAATATTGCCTTTTAGTCTTGGTTCAGGCAGTTTGTCTGCAATATACCGGAAACCTCTTGCGTCAGCACGAAACCCTATCAGATAGAGGTTTTGTTCACAAATAAGAACGGTGATTTTGACGAGGTTTCTGGAACAAAACGAGACTGCTCGGCGACGATCTTGAGAGTAGATCGCAAGGATCAAACGAAGGTTGAACTGTACCTTATCGATCACTTTATTGTATAATTATTTACCTATCTATCTTGCTATCTATTGTTCTCATTTTTAGTTTAAAATTTATATATTAAGTAAATTTAAATTCAAATCTTAGGAGCTGTTATAGTATTCTCTTTCGGTGTAGCTCCGGCCCTGAGGGGAAGGCTAATTTTGTTAGCCGAATTATTGGGCTCAAATAAATCAACCCTTGCCGTATTGCCAGCCTTGCATTCAGTCTTGTCAGGAGACAAGCTACTGTAATGGTGCTCATGCGTCTCGCTGTGGGGCGAAAAAACAATAATAACAAAAACAACTTGGTTTGTAGCATGCGGTGAGTCAGGCTTAAATCAGATTGGCTTTCTAGGGAAAATATGCCTCTTACCAAGAAAAAAAAAACGTTAATAACAAGTGTTAATTATGTTCGACTTTGTGACAACAGACTACGAGAACGAGATAAGAAAAATGATAACAAAGAAGAATAAAGCTAAGAACAAGCTGCGGCTAAAAAAAAAAGAAAATGATAATAATAATAATAATAGTAATAATAAAAATAATAATAATAAAAATAATAATAATAATAATAATAATAATAACATAAATAACAATAAAAAAATATAAAAAGTCATACAATAACCACAACACAACAAGGCCGGGAAACTAACCCAAAGCACTCAACGGTAGAATTGGTCGTGTTAATTAAAGTTTAATCCAATTCATTTGTCTACTTATAATCGGTAGAGCCTAGTTGTTTGTATCCTCTCTGTTATTTTGTGTAGATGATTCTATTAAAATAAACAACAATAAGACCTTTTTCTTTCAGTCAACAACAGATCATACAGTAAGTAAACAACTCTTGGCTATTTCAGTAGAATTATCCCCAATAGCGCGTGCATCCATTAGCTGCTTCACAAACAAGAAAAAAAATCTTTACCGCCCCTATTGCTATATACGATAGCAACACACTAACGAAACATAAAGGTGAAGTAGACAATATTTTTCTGTAAATGAAAAAAATTTTATCTGATGAGTTGGTTTATTGTTTGACTGCAGATCCCTTCCCTACGTATGCATGTATGAATGGGGGAGGGGAAAGATAAATGAGGTTTTATCAGTTGAAAACCACTAAAGGAAACGAAATAGATCTAGTTACAAAGGGTAATGTTCAACATCCACTATTGGATCCTGTCAATCAACAATTAAAACAAGGTGAGGTAAACTCCTCATGCCCTCCTTAGAGACGGACCATTAGAAAAGTTATGGGGGGGGGGGGGGGGGAATTTTCGAGCCGCAAGAATTTTTTTTCGTTATCAAATTCCTTGTATGAATTTTTTTAGGCCATAGCATGAATATTTTTTAGGGTTAATTGGCGTGCATGAATTTTTTTTCATTTAATTTTCCCTTGCGCGAATATTTTTTTTGGTTCTTCGCCCCCCCCCCCCCATAAGTTTTCTAATTGTCCGTCCCTTAGTGGGAGACAATGACTTAAGCTTAAACACTTCCTTCAAAATTCCTTATTTTTTGGCCCAGTAAATTTATTGCCTGGTTTGCTTGCATTCGTCCTATTTTAAGGAGAAATAGTCGGCCCTTGTACATGCGATGCGATTCGTAGCCGAGAGAATAATATAACCTGCTTCGGGTTTGTCGATGTGTTAAACAAATCACTCATTGAAAATATAGTGAGTCAAGTAAATAGCATCACTTTAATCATTAATTTCTGCAATGGCGAACATTTCTAACAAGCTGATGGACAAAAGGAAACTACATGATGTAATTACACATTAAGAACGATCGTTAATTGTTAAGCTAAGGCTCTTTCCGTCTTCCCAATCAAAATTCAGCTTATCTGATTCTTTTTGCTTTGAACTATATTCCGTGTTTTTGTAAATGTGAAGAAACGAGAAAAATTTTCTAAGACGCTAAATGCTATCTTTCTTCCGGAGAAGAAGGAAACAGCTCTCATTTGACAAGGCATCTCCACTCTGACAAACTTTCACGGAGAAGAAAGAATAACATCACGGAAGCTCAAAACGAAAACCAAACAGGTCGCTACTCAGTGAATCGTTATCTGGTAGAGTTGGAAAACTGGTTGGAGAATCAAGCAAATGATGCCTTAGATGTTTTGAATGATATCTGGTATCCAGCCATTACCATTAGGAGAACCTTTAGTTATTTTTTAATTTTCTTTTCTCGTAAGCTCAGCGGATATGCAAGCTATGAGCAGTTTATAGCACTTTCTTAACATAGACCACAACAGATTAAGGATTTTCAGTTGATATTAGCTACAGAAAGTATATTAATATTAAATGAATAGGCTTAATCCTTGTATAATTCTAGCCAACAAGATGGCCATTCCCCTAGCTTTTTCTATGTTTCTTGTACCCGCACCAGATATCGAAAGTCACAACGCATACCTTTGTATTTGGGACACGTACTAATAACTCAAATACTATGTTGGAGCAAGCAATTAAGTGTTGTTATTCCGCATTTATAATCATTAATTAAAAGCAAGGTTTAAATCCCAACTGGCAGAAGGCAGGCCAGTTGTCTACTATATTTACAAGCGTGGTCGGGGATGCTACTTACTCCCATTGGAACTGCTGTTGAACAACTCCAACGGGTGGTCAGAGGGGAGGGGAAGATAGGGTGGCTTGGCTTGGTATCGACGGCTAATGGTTAGAAATATTTCTTTTTCGATGACTGAGAGTAACATTTTAGTTTTTTCGATGGTCGACGATTAGAGGCGCCACATTTTAAAAATATCTTTTTAGTATCTTGCCAGCGTTTTAGGAATGGATCACCTTTTAGAAACCGTAAGTGATTTAAAACAGTAAAAAATTTTCTCACTAATTGTAGCAAAAGAGCGAATGAACAATATGACAAGATATACCACAGTTCAGTGTCCAATGCTTAATGTTTCATGGCTTAACTTAAACCTCCTTCAGACCCTCTTCCGACTACCCGTCCACGCTGCCTCCATTAAAGTTCAAAACTTAGCGTAAACATAAGTTTCTTTCTTGAATGCCTTAAATGGCTTATTAAAAAGCTGTGTGTGATATCTACTAATCTTAAATTATTTATGTCTAGTTTTATGACCTTTTTCGGAACAAGTTTCAGTTTTCTGGTAAGAGCGGTTGAGACAGAGTTGGATTTTTGACGATTCTATCCTCTGTGTCTGTATCAGTGGTTTTCTCTTCACCAACATGCTCCTTGTAATACGCTCTTGATTCATCTACCAAATCAAGATCTAGATATGTATTTCCCACCATCATCATCTTCTCCAGTATCTTCGTGGCCTGATCAAAGGTTGGCCGTTTACGAGGATCTTCCTTCCAACAGTCCAACACCACCTGAAATCTAAGACAATTATTATAAGGGGCCGTGCGGTACCTGCCAAGAGGGTCAAATTAGATAGGCCCCTACTTGGAACCTTTATTTTATATTTTTTTTATTGGAATGAGTGATGATGAGTGCATGCGTACAGTATGATACGCTTCCCATCTCAAATACGTTTTCATCTTATTTATCAGTA